TAAATATTTAAAGAAATATAAGAGGACATATTTTGGCTCTGGAAAGTGTTGTATGTTTAATTTAATTATGTTTGAAAAAATTTATCTGATATGCAATAAATGAACATCATGGCCAGTGAGATATGCAAGCTTATAAAAAAATGCAATTATAAAATATTCATATTCTGTTGGAGTATGCCTTTGCAGTATTATTAAGGTTAACCACATTAGTGCACACAATTGACTGCTCTGGGCACTTGTTTAAAAATCTGTGATGGTGATATAGGGACAGACTCCCGTGTGGGTGTTGGTTTTCGTCTGGGTGAGCATGCAGACTTCCAGGTTCTTCTGGAATTGGGTCCACAGTTAAACACTCAGCCACTTGGTCCTGCTGGAGATACCAAAACACGGCGACAAGTTCAGCGACCTGGCCTGGTTGTCCTACCAGCAACAGGCTCAGAAACAGTTGCTGACACACCAGGAGGAAAATGGCTGTCTTCGTGGCGATCAGCACTTGTTAACTCGCAGACCATGGTAATGTTTCTACACTGTTTACTCCATAGAATTGTATGGCATTAAACAGGACATTTCTGGGTGGTGAATTGCGAAGCGTGTGGAAAAGTGGTATCACAGCAAATTTTCGTTACTATCCCAGCATTTTACTGGAGGAACTATGGAAAATTCACAGTCAGAAACACCACCCTCAAGCTCAAAAATCAAATCTAGTACCTCTAAAACATGAAATGCAGTATCAGTATAATTATTGTCTGTAATTACCTTGTTACAGTCACATTTTTGGGTTTACTAATTGCATTTACCATAGTACCATTATTTTCTGCCGTGATTTATGATACTTGTCTCTGTAGTTCACAAAACTGAAATAAAATTATAATTTTTTGGTAAAACTTAGGAAATAAGTAATGAAGCTGAAAGCTCAGAATTCAAAGACTAGCTCATAAAAGCTTCAAATTCCTGGCCTGTTGTATGTTCCAGGAAGCCAACAGGTATATAGGAGTTGGACAACACCAGGTTATTCAGAACCCAATGAAGGGCAAGGACCATGTTACATCACAGCTGCAACAGCTTTATAAAAATGGCAGCAAAGCAACTGAAAAGTCAAATAGTGAAGGTCAAACATCAGATGGTGGTCCAGCAGGAAGAGGAAATTTTACTTCAGTAGAAACATGAATCACAGTGCCATTGTCATTGCAGAAAAGACAGCCAGTCAATAGAATCAAAGACAGCTATGATATATATTTTGTGTAATAACTATGGGCAATGACTGTGTGAGGGTAACTGAAAGAGGTTCAACAGGAATGGTCCAGATTATCTCAAGGTTTGTAACAATGTTTTCTTTGTTACATTATCATTATTTTAGACATTATCCATTGAGGTATACTTGCTATAGGTAATGCTTTTGGAGTTGGCTTTACTCTCGTCTTCAGGTGATTAGTTGTCACTATGCTAACATATTTTTCTGCTTGATATTAAAGGCTAAGATCAAGATCAAAATAAAAACTTCTTAATATTAAACTTGTATGCTGTTCCTTAGTGGCCCAGTGGTTAGCATGTAAATTTAATATTTGAAAGGTTTGTCTCTTTTAAAAAAATAAAAATAGTAAAAACATAATTCAAGCAATGGACAATAAAGGTTCAGTTTCTAACACACCTTTCCCATACTCAAGTTCATTTAATGTGAGGCTCTAAGACACCATTGTGTAGGTAAGAATATGACTTATTCTCCTCCCAACACCTAGATCTTTGAATTCTAGTCTACATGACCATGCAGGGGTGTCTTTTAAGGCAGCAAATTTTTTAATGTTCATTTTTGCCACAAGAAAACATTACAAATTGGAAGAGGAATGGAATAAGAAAACTAATGACAGTAACGTTTTGTCCTCGTCTTTTAACCCTTTCTGTCCAATCCCAGAAGCTACTCATGGCCAAAATAAAAGGACAAGTATCTATTCAGTGACTCTCATTCACTGACCTGTACAGGTGACTATTCTTATGGTGATTTAAATGTCGTCAAGCCATGCAGTATGCCATTTGAATTCAAGTGCAAGAAGTTATTATTTTACTGATACTGAGATTCCAACCTTTGTAAGTTATTCAGGACATTGATGTAACCACAATTTTGTTTGCACCATACAGCTAATTTTGTATGGTACTGCTTCACTGCTGCTGTGTATCCATTACAACATTCCATACTTCTACAAGAAGTTTTGATTCTGTGCCAGCTTTGATTCTTTGGGGAGAAAGATGATAATGTTACCTATCATTTGGATGTCTTGTGGGAAATGGATTCACCATATTAATTCTTTCTTGACATTGTTCTGTTCTAGTTTATTTGTTTATGTACTTGTTTTCTTATGTATTATTTTACCTTCACAACTCAAATTGAATCTAAGAAATTAATTTGGACACTTCTTATTTCTTTCTTGGCAGCATTTCTTGAGACAACTACATACATACATACATACATCTATCTTTATTAAATTCCATGTATCCATAAGATAGTTAGATAACAATAGGATGTGGAAAAAGTCATAATAATAATAATAATAATCTATGTACCTTAGGGACAAGGTCTGTCTCAGGTATTATAATAATAATAATAAGACAAAGAAGACCCCCATTTTGGGAACTTCATACATCATATGGAAGACGCTTTCATAAAATAAAATTATATAATACATGTGGCACTTGCTAAAAACAATATGAATCCCGGAAATAGCTGCTGCCTTATGTACCTTAGGGACAAGGTCTGTCTCGGGTACATGGAAGTACATACCCCGTAAAGTGGTGAAGAGATGGGATAATAATAATAATAATAATAATAACAACAACAACAACAATACAAGACATATTATAAAGTACAATTCATACTATTATATAAATTTCACATAAAACAACAAAGGGTTCACCTAAAGTAATGATAAATTACAAATAAATCTACCCATTACATACCGAAGATAAATTATCACTTATTTGTAAATAATAGAAATTCATTGACAGAGTAAAAGGAGTGTGTAATTAAGTATCTTTTTAATGCAACATTAAATTGCTCCTTTTTATTCACAAGACTTGTGAAACTTGACGGTAGACTGTTGAAAATATTGATCCCTGCATAATATGCACTCTTCTGAAAACATGAGAGGTAGGCAACTGGACTATGAAGCTGAATTTTATTCCTTGTGTTGACACTGTGTACAGCAGAATTAGTTTGAAAAAGTTCTTGGTTATTTACAATAAAGTTAATTAATGAGAATATGTATTCACAAGGAAGAGCTAAGATCTAATCTCTTAAATAGACTTATACATTAATTTCTAGGTTTGACATCAGCCATTAATCTAACAATTTTCTGATCAGCACTGAGTGAAGATGGCACTTCTAAAGCCCACGATTTGTGTAGGGACATTTTGTACAGATATTGTCCATTGGGCGTACTAAATGTACGATGTTTTGGAGGCAATCTCCACTTCTAGGTTTGTGTAAATTTATCATCATCTTGATAACATTAGACATTTTGGAGTCAAAATGAAATATTTTCATGTTCCGAACAAGGAAGTAGAATATGTTTCTGGCATGAACAGATAAAACATGAAAGATATCATGTACATAAATTATTTGTACGATGTAGTTTAGTAACCAATAAGAAACCATTACATTTTGCAGCATTACAGTGGAGCCAATATTTAAAATATAAGTGTCTTTTTGGTCAAACAAATTCTACGAATGTATGAACTTTATTAGTATGTAGGATAATTAAAGGTGAGTGAAATTAACTTAGTTAAAACTGGCGTATAATTTCTATGCGTATGTGACTTTGACTTTGAATGTATATATAGTAACAGATTTGTACTGATATTTTCGTTATTGGTGACCCTGTTTCTACAAGTTCTTACAAGCGAGGTAGAGACGCTGTAGTCAGGTAATGCATATCCGGTTGCTTAATTCTTATTTTATTTAGCGTTTTGCTTTTGTTTTGTTAAGAACTAGGTATACGGGAGATAATGTTCAAATAAATTATTACGTCTTTTACTCGTCCAAAAACACCAACAGTTTTGATGTAATGCATGACTTAAGACATCCATTCAGTGACGCATAAATGATAGGGAATCAACATGGTAAAAAATAGTGGGCGTTGTGTTACAAAAGCGAAAGTGTTTATTTAAATGCTATAGTAGTGAGTTATGTAAGGCTGTAAGTGGTCTCAAACTGATTACAAATGTGGCAAGATCGAAATGTGTTCGATGTAAACTTAATTGGATTTCCCTCAAGAATTAACTTGTGTAAAAGTTTTTTAATTTCGTTTTTATTTAGCTCATAGACCAGTGTGCCGTGCAGGATGTGAAGGAACTAGAACAAGAGTGTAGCAGTGTTTATATACAATGTTTGACATAATACCAACATACCATATGTGGGAAGTACATAAATTTGAACAGAATGTGAATATCACAGGCATTTACCCTGTTTATAATGGAGCAGTAAATAAAATATGCATAACTTGTATTGTGATGCTTAGACATTATTTTTCAAAGAACTTGCAAGTGGGCACATAATCATACCTTATTAAATTGGATCTAAACATGAACACATGTTTGGTCCATTTCTGCCACGTAGGTTTTAATAAGCCCGGGAATGTTTAATAGCCTAACTAACTTATGTGGGCAGTTCATAGCTAATCAGCTACTCAGGGAATTCTTATTGTTACAGAATTCAGATTAATTGCCATCAGTGCAAGAACTGTCATTGGGCTGTTATGAGTAAGCTCAGTCCAGTAAATATGTAACTTAAATCTTGGAAGCATTTCTTGCTTTTGCCATGCATCCTACATGTGTGGTCCATCCTGTCCTTGAGTTAATCATCATATGTAATGCACAACTATAAAATTATTTTATTTCTTGAATTATTCAGGCA